GCCCGCGCCGATAGGCGTGGAGCCCGCCTGCGCCTTCAGCCATGGAGTGACGGATCCACTCCTTGAAGCCCTGGCCTCGAATGACGGCGAAGGCTGCTCCATCGGCCTCCGCCTCGGCCCTGGCCTCAGCGGCCCAGTCGGCCAAGGGGAGCAGGCTGGGGCACTCGGCGGCCAGGGCCACGCGTGCTGCCCACTGGGCGCCGAGGGGAAGGCCCACCGTGGACGGGGGCTTGGGCGCCCTGCTGATCGCTTGCGCTGCTCCGTCGCCGCTGCTGCTGACGTCGCCGTCGGAGCTGCAGTCGCTGCCCTCGCGCCTGCCGCCGTGGTACCGCGTGAACTGCTTTACGCCCTGCAGGTAGCAGTAGTGCTCGTCGTCAGCGATGGCCCAGGCGTCGGGGTCGCTGGCCTCCAACTCGCGGACCTTGCGCGCGTACTTGTTGCGCACGCCCTCGGAGGCCTGCCAGCTGTCCTCGCACATGTCGACTGCCCGAGCCCAGCGGGCTGCCGCTCGCTCGCCAAACGGCCGAGCCGAGCTGGCGCGAGGGGGCGGGGGTGGGATCACGCTGATACCCTCCGCTGATGCGGCTCCCCTTCCCGCCCCCGACGCCGACGCATCGCTGACGCCCTCTCCAGTGGCCCTCGCACTGCTGGCTGCCGCTGCCGCTGCGAGGCTCGCGAAGGAGTTCACTTGGGGCTGGGGTGGGATCGCGCTGTCCCCGTCCGCAGATGCGGCTCCCATCCCCGCCCCGTCAGACTGGCCCTCTGTGACGCCGACCTGCTCACCCTCGTCTCCATTGCCGCCCTCGTACTGGCTGAGGCGCTCGTAGGCGTAGTGCGTGCAGAGGTCCATCCACTCTGCCTTGTCCTGCTGCGCGTCGGGGGCGTGCAGGCGCGGCAGCCAGCCGCTGGCCAGTCGCGCCAGTGTGCGCCTGACGCCCGCCTCACCCACCTCGATGGCACTCCACCCCCCCGCGTCCATTGGGCAGGTCGGTCTCGGGATAGCCGTGGACGATGGGCGCGCCTGGGAGGGGCCTGCTGTAGTCACCCCGCTCCTCCAGCCAACGCCTGGACTCGTGGTAGCTATCCACCGTCCTGCGCAGCTCCTCCTCCCAGCAGTCGGGGTCGAGAAGGCCTAGCTGCTGAAGAATGCGCACCAGCTCATGCCTGCCTGTGCCGCCGCGACGCCAGGCAGACTCGCATACTTCCCTGGCCGTCTGCAGGCGACGCCCAAAGTCCTGGGCCAGGCCCGTCGCAATGTGCGTCGGCAGCCCCAGCATGCGAAAGATGTAGGGCACGCAATTTTCCAACCACTCGTTCTCGTCCGCGCAGTGGTCGGGGTTGCTGGGGTTGGAGACCCGCCCGCGGGCACGGCGCCCGAGCACCCGCTTGTAGCGCTTGATTGCCCTGGCCTCCATACGCTCCGCCGCCCGCCCGTCGTTGCCCAGCTGGCACTGGATGAGCCCTGCCGAAGAAACGGCATCCGAGCCTCCGCCGACGAGCTGATGGAGCTGCGTGAAATAGTCGCTCAGATGCATGAGCTTCTTGCCCTTGTAGCTGGCCTTGGGCCCCTTGATGGGGCGCGCCCTGGCCTGCGTGCCGAAGCTGAAGCTCGGCGGGCCCCCACGGCCACGGTACAAACTGGCGTCGTCAGGCGGGATCTGGTAGATCCAGACGAGCTCGTTCTCCACTCCCTCGCACAGGGCGCGGTATACCTCCGTCATGGCCTGCATGTCCTCCCCCACGCCGATAGCGTCCCGCAACTCGTCGTGGTTCCACTCCTTGGCTGGCATAGGCCCATAAGGCCTGTCCTTGGGAAAGGCTGTGGGGCCTTTGACGCGGAATGACTGGCCAATGTCGCCCTGACAAGCCAAGGAGAGCTTGACCCCGATGTGGGGCCTGCACGGGTTGGCGTAGCCCTGCTCAGTCATGTTGAGGCGCTCGCACCCGCTGGCGAGGTCCAGCATATCTACGCTGACGATGAACCAATCGAGCTCAGATGGCTCCTTGACGGGGGAGTGCTGGCAGGTGCCCTTGCCCGTGTCGACGACGTGTCCGCCCAGCTTGCGCAGCCAGTGCCCCGCGCGGAGGTGGAACCTGTCAGGCTCGACGTTCCAGTCCCCCGCCAGGACCCAGGGCTTGCCAGTGCACATCAGCGTGGTTCCAACCTGCTGCACGACGCTCTGGCTGTGCTCGCCCACGTCGTCGTCGTCCAGGTAGACCGAGCCCAGCTGGAAGCCTCCAGGCACGACGCCATTGATGTGCACGATGGTCGCGCGGCCCTCGGCCGCGTGGCAGCTGTCCTTGCTGCCGCCATCGCCTGGCCCGCACGTGCCACGCGAGGTGCGCGCGGCCACGCCAGTGCCGCTGCTGACGGCGCGCTGGAGGCCTGCGCCGACCGAGCTCACCCCTGGGGTCAGCACGGCGCTCCAGCCAACCTGCCGACACCACTGCTCCTGCTCCACGGCGCGGTAGCCGTTGAGGTGGTGCTCCTGGATGCACAGTGCGTCGCCGAGGTGAGCCTCCGCCACCGCCTGCTGTTGTGGGTCCTGCTGCTCGCCGAGGATGGTGGTGAAAGGGCCCCATCCGCTGCCGTTGAGGCTCACGATGGTGAAGCGGGGGCGGCTACCCCCGCTTCCCCCTTCTGCGTATCCCCGCGGAGCGGAGGCCTTGGAGGAGCTTCTGGGCACGAAGCTTGCGCATGGCGGCGGCTGCGGCGGCCTTGGCTGCGGCGTCGCCTGCTGCCTCGCCGTTGCCCACCTCGCCCGCCACGGCCTCTTCTGCCCCCTCCTCGGTGGCCTCCTCCTCCAGGGAGTCCAGGATGACGTCGACGTCCTTCTCGTCGATCTCCTGCTCGTCGCCGCTCCCGTCGCGCTCCGCCGCGGCACCTGCTGTGGCAACGCGCTGTGCCAGACGCCGCAACTCTGCGACTTGGCCGTCCCATTGCTCAGCGAAGCCAGGGGCGAGCATGCCTGAGCACTGGTTAAGAGCGGCGAGGAAAGCGGTAGCTCGCTCCCCCTCGCTGAGTTGGGCGCCTGGGGACGCTGGGGCAACCGTCCCTCGCGGCCCTTCCTCCCGCTGCTGTGCTTCACGCTCGCGGAGCTGTTGCGCCAGGAGGTTGTCGATGAGCGCCTGGAGCTCCTTCTCGCCGGCCTGACTCTGCGCATGTTTGCCCTCCAGCTCGAGCTTGTGGGCCTGTAGTTCAGCGAGCTGCTTGTCCGCCGCCGAGATCCTGCTCGCCAAGGCCGCCGTGGTGGCCTCCTGGTTCTTCTGCTTGCGCTCCAACTCGCTGAGCTGGACTGATGTGGGCTTGGTTGCTGCCAACTCGTTCTCCAACTGCTGCGCCTCCTGCCGTTTGGATTCGGGAATGGCCTCCGCGCCGTCCACGCCCTCGATCTTCTTGATCTCACTTCGTAGCTTGCCCAATCGGCGGACACGTTCAGACTTGTCGTCAGGCTGCGACCCGACGCCTGCCGCCCCAGCGCCACCGCCATCGACTCCTGGTCCTGCTTGGCTGCTGGCCTCCAACTTTTTGACCTTCCTCCGCAACTGGTTGAGTTCGTGGCGTTCTCTGGCGTCCAGTTGTGACATGCCACTCCACCAAGAACTCGTACCAGAACCGCTTTCCCACCAGTCGTAGCCGCAGCTCCTGCAGACGTGCCGAGAGCCCCAATTCTTCTTGGCTCCGCACTGGGGGCAATCCCAGACCCTGGGCGCTGCACCGCTGCCGCCCGCGCCTGGCGCTTGGCCGCCCCGCTGTCCACGGCTGCTACTGGCTCTGCCGCCGCCACCGCGCGCGGCACCACGAGCACCACCTCCACGTCCTGCCATTGGTCGAGCCCGCCGCGGCTGGGCTCCCAATCGGGCGACTGGGGCCGGGTGTCCTGTGGCGCGCGAATCTGCACGCGACGCCAGCACCACCTCCACGTCCTGCCATTGGTCGAGCCCGCCGCGGCTGGGCTCCCAATCGGGCGACTGGGGCCGGGTGTCGGTGATGTAATGTGGAAAGAACTGTGGCCCAAAGGGCCTCACTGAAAGCTTGGAAGATTGGGAATCTGACCCAAGAATGGACGCGACGGCTAGAGCCAGCCTCATGAGACCAGACATCTGCCCTGATCGCGCCACCTTGAGATGAGCCAAAATGGCTGATGATGATGATGATGATGATGATGATGATGATGATGATGATGATGATGATGATGATGATGATGATGATGGTGATGATGATGATGGTGATGATGATGATGGTGGTGGTGGTGATGCTGGTAATGATGATGCTGCTGATGATGATGATGATGGTGGTGCTGCTGCTGTTGATGATGCTGATGGTGATGGTGATTGTGATGGTGATGCTGATGCTGATGATGATGGTGATTGTGTTGGTGATGCTGATGATGATGATGATGATGATGATGATGATGATGATGATGATGATGATGATGATGATGATGATGATGATGATGATGATGATGATGATGATGATGATGATGATGATGATGATGATGATGATGATGATGATGATGATGATGATGATGATGATGATGATGATGATGATGATGATGCTGATGATGATGATGATGATGATTGATGATGATGATGATGATGATGATGATGATGATGATGATGATGATGATGATGATGATGATGATGATGATGATGATGATGATGATGATGATGATGATGATGATGATGATGATGATGATGATGATGATGATGATGATGATGATGATGATGATGATGATGATGATGATGATGATGATGATGATGATGATGATGATGATGATGATGATGATGATGATGATGATGATGATGATGATGATGATGATGATGATGATGATGATGATGATCATGAGGAGGAGGAGGAGGAGGAGGAGGAGGAGGAGAGGGAATCGGAGGAGGAGGAGGAGGAGGACCAGGAGGGACTTGAGAGACGGAGGAGGAAAGACGAATGAAACCAATCGCCGAGGCGCAGGCAGAGGGTATTGACACATCCCCTGGCCGAGGTGGACAAGACCAGGGTTTTCGGCAAAGGGTTGGACGAGGGCCTCCAGCCGATAGTCGATGCCGAGGGTGAGATGGAGGTGGTGTTCTTCCGACAAGACGGGGGGGGTCAACGTTGTCTGATGAGGAGGCGGATGATAGGAGGGTGGAGGAGAAGGAGGAGGAAGTAGGAGAAGGACGGAGTGGAAGGAGGAGGAGGAAGAGGAGCAGGAGGAGGAGGAGGAAGAGGAGCAGGAGGAGGAGGAGGAGGAGGGATCATAACAGGGAGGAAGAAGGAGGATGCGGATGAGCAGGAGGAGGAGGAGGAGCAGGAGGAGGAGGAGGCGGAGGAAGGAGGAAGACGAGAGAGCATGGGACGCACAGCAAAATCAATGAGTTCTATGATGAAGAGTGGAATAATGATGCCGATGATCGGCAGAAAGCAGAGTCCGCTGATTATGGGGTGTCGCCTACTCTGTGCATCATATCGCCTGTGCGTTCTTTCCGCTCTCGGGCCAGTGTGCCCATCGTCTGTGGACTTTTACTCCTTACTGTCATCGGTCCGTTGATGATGGGGCATAATGTATTGGCCATCCTCCGGGCCGTCTCGGGGCCATTTTCGGGCCGTCTTGGTTCCCTCTTGAGCCCTCTTGGTGGCAGCTTCGGGCTCTTATGGGGTCATCCTGGGCCGCCGGGAGGCCTTCTACAGGCTATCGGGCTCCCAGTGGGCCCTTTTGGGCTTTGGCCGGCTGCAAGGGCACAAATGTTCGACCAAATAGCGTGGGACACGAAGGACATTGAAAGACATTTTGGAGTATCCATGTTTCTGGCCCCTCGAGGGTCTCCAGCAGCGTGTTGGGCGTGCCTCGGGTCCTCCTGGGAGCCTCTTGGGACCTATTCGGCGCTTCTCGGGGGCTCTTGGGTGCAGCTTGAGGCGATGCCGGGCCATCTTGCTCTTGGTCGCTCCTTGGGCCAACTTGGAGTCCTCATGCGCCAATCCTGGAGCCATCTTGAGCCATCTCGGAGCCGTCTTGAGCCATCTCGGAGCCATCTCGGAGCCATCTTGAGCCATCTTGAGCCATCTCGGAGCCCATCGGAAGCGAAATGGCGAGAATGCTAACATCAGCTGCTTGCACTCAGGGGCTCTCGCCTCGCTTCCTCCTCTCGTTGGGTGGACCCGCCGAGGCCTCGCCACGTGCCCGCCAGTGGGCACCTCGTGGGCGCTCCGTGGGCGTCCCGTGCCCCGTGTGGGCCCCCGGAGGCCTCGCCACCTTCGCCTGCGTGGGCGCCTCGTGGGCGCCCCCGCGGGCGCCCACGTGCCGCGTGTGGGTCCGCCGAGGTCCTGGCGGCCCTTCGGGCGCCCCGTGGGCGCCCCGTGCCGGGGGGTGAGTCCGCGGGGGCGTCGCCGCGTTCGCGCCGTGTGGGCTCGTCTGGGCGCTCGCCCGTGGGCGCCTCGTCGGCGCCTCTCCCGGGCGCCCCGCGCCCGGGGTGGGTCGGCGTCTCTCGGCACGCCGCTCGCACGTTTCGCTCCGCAGCCCCCCATCGAGAGCTCCACAGAAAGGCCCAGTGGCAGGAATCACAGGCGTGACCGTGCCCAGTTTGGCACACGCCTCGCACGCTCCGAGGCCCTCTTAGGAGCTCCACCAGAGGCCCCGCCGCCCGCTGCTCCCCAGACCGTACCCTGCTGCTCCCCAGGGCCAGGTCGACAGACGCTCAGATCCGCCGTGACGGGTTACATCCAGATGTAGCCCGTTGCGGCTGACCCTTGCGGCCCCATTAGCAACGTCGCTCCGTCCTTTAGTGTCCACCTGTCTTGCGGTACTCGCAGCTGCATACGGTTTGGTCCCCTTCGCCAGGCCGTTTTCTTGTTGAATGGGATGGTGGGGGGGTACTGTGATGGTTCAAGGTTCGCCCCCAGTCAGGTGGGGGAGGGGTTGTATACGAATAGTGAACAGTGATCGACAGGTCCACGAAGGGGAAGAACGGGGTTGGCAGATTATGCGCCTTAGATCACCTTGGCCCGAAAGGGCTGGCTGGATGTGATCATATTCCAACTGATTTGGGCAGTTCCCCGGACAACAGTAACATATCACGAAACATAAACCGGTGCGGGCGAAAATAATGTACCCCCCTAAAGGCGCGGCCTTATATTTTCATTATCCCCGTCCAACAGGATTTAAGTGTGGAGAGGAGCGCGGAGGCCGTACTTTCGAATACACGGGGAAGTTGCGAATCGAAGTTGTGTTCGTCTCATGTTGACTAGCAACAACATCAAAAACGCTGAGCATGGGCGTGGTGGTCTCACCACACCAGCTTCCGCAGTCACGAGCGTGTGACAGGGTTGTGGGGTTCTAACCAGTTCAGTTTGCCCAAGTCACGAACGCGCGGCAGTGCCATGGAATTCTCATTTTCTAAACCATTCCCGAGTCAGGAACGCGTGGCAGGGCCATGGGGACGGATTGGATTTTCATTGTGCACACGTTTTTCGAGCAGGCAAAGCATTGGAGTTAATTGCTTCTTTAGGGCATCCATCACACGGTTCGTGGCCCTTCCTCCTCCCCTCCTTCTCCTCCTCCTCCTCCTCCTCCTCCTCCTCCTCTACCCCCACAGCTGCCCAGGCCCGAGCTTCCCTGAGTCTCCCCCAGGGGCAGCGATAGGGGGGGATAGGCATGCCGAGCCTGCCCAGGAACGCCCGGATTCACGATCGGGCGCGCATTGCCAATGCATCGGCGATGCATCGCCGATTCCAGGTCGATGTCCCCCCCAGCGCCGATCGCCCCCACATCGTTGCCCCCGAGTGCGTCGCGAACCAGGGCCATGAGCCAGGCCGCCGAGCGCGCCGCGGCGGCGAGCCTCCCCGTCGAGGCCCTCAAGCAGGTGGCGGCCCAGAGCGCGAGCCCGAACTCGAACGAGATCCTCGACCGCATGGGCAAGCAGGGCGCGAAGATCCTCGACGAGCCCGCGTTCATCGCGGACTAGATCGCGATTGCCGAGATGCGCCAATGCCAATCGAGCGCGCTATGCACTGATGCGGCGAGGATGACGGCCTGCTTCTTCAAGGCCGAGAGCGCCTCGTGGCCAAGCAGCGCCCGGCAAGCCGTCCGCGAGTTGGTTTGCAACGGCGGGTCTCTCAAGAGCATCGAGCGCGGCCGCGTCTTCAACGAGGAGGACAAGAGGCGCGTTGAGCTGGCCGTGGCGTTGTTCTGCAAGACCTACAAAGAGAGTGACGAGCACGTCTGCGACATCTTCGAGAATCGCGGAGCGCCGCCCGAGAACATCTTCTGGCTCAAGCCGAGATTCAAGGTCTAGATGCACGAGCTCGCCAAGAAGAGGGACATCGATCTCTGCGCCGAGAGCGCCCTGCGCCTCCGGCTCCTACGCCGAGCGCGTCGGCGAGGCCCTCCCCGACATCCCCGCCGAGCTCACCTCCGCGACCTCGCGCTGCCGATCAACGAGAAGTTCGAGCCCCTCGAGAAGTGGGGCGAGGAGTCCCCCGGCGTGAGCGCCGAGCAGCTCTTCGAGTTGATCCCGAGCAAGGCCCGGCAGTTCGCCCCTCCGCGCCGCCAGAACGGCGTGGCGTCGAGCCCTGGCGCCGCCAAGGCCACCGCGCGCGCGGTCGCCAAGTGGCGCTGGAGCGCGAAGAGGACAGCCGACATGGCGCGCGAGCTCCAGGAGCGGAGCTACCAGGACAAGCGCTCCAAGTTTGACTGCGCGAGCGCCGTCGAGCAGCAGGGCGTCGAGACGATGCTTCTCAAACGGCACATCAAGCTGAATGTCGACAAGTTCGCCCAAATCCACGCCGACTGCGACAAGATCACCAACCAGCGCGAGCCTCAGAGGAGCCAGGCCGACGCGATGGCCGAGCCAGAGGCCGACGAGTTCACGCTCGCGGGCGTCTGAGAGCCCGGCGCGCGAGCGCCCCGAGCCAAGCGCCCCCGCGCTTTTCGCGGCGAGGGTGCCGCTCGAGCGTCTCGAGGCACGCGCTCGAGCTCCATCCGCTTTTCCAGCTCCAAGCGAGCGTTCGGGCACGCGCGAGCGGCGTTCCCAGCCGCGGGGTGCTGCCCCCCTCTTGCCGAGCGATCTTCGATCAAGCACCAAGCAATTAAGCAGGCTCGATCCTCCATCCTCGGATCGAGGACCCGAGATCTTGAGCCCGAGCATCTTCGAGCGCCTTGGGTCCTAGATCCGAGAATCGCAGCGCTTGGACTCGAAGATCTCGGGTTCGCGACCCGAGGATCGAAGGTCGAGCCTCGGCGATCGTCGGTCGTCACTGTCGCCGTCGTCAGGCCCAGGCCGCCATCGAGGAGGCTCGATCCTCCGATCGAGGGCCCGAGATCTTGGTTCCGAGCATATTCGGGCGACTTGGGTCTTAGGGCCGAGGATCGCCGCGATTGGACTCGAAGATCTCGGGTTCGCGATCCGAGGCTCGGGGGTCGAGCCTCGGCGAAAGTCGATCGCCCTCTTCGCCGTCATCGGGCCCAGACTGCCATCGAGCTGGCTCGATCCTTCATCCTCGGATCGAGGATCCGAGGTCTCGGTCTTGAGCATCTCGGATCCTAGATCCGAGGATCGCCGAGCTTGGACTCGAAGATCTGGGGTTCGACATCCGAGGCTCGGGGATCGAGCCTCGGCGATCGCAGATCACCCCCCTCGCCGCCCTCGGTCGCTCAGACCGCCGCCAAGGAGGCTCGATCCCCCATCCTCGGATCGAGGATCCGAGATCTTGGTTCCAGGCGCCCCTGAGCGCCTTGGGACCTAGATCCGAGGATCGCAACGCTTGGGCTCGAAGATCTCGGGTTCGACGTCCGAGTCGCGAGGTGCGAGCCTCGGCGATTGTCGATCTCCCTCGTCGCCGTCCTCGGGCCCAGACAGCCATCGAGCAGGCCTGGCCCTTCATCCTCGGCTCGAGGATCCGAGATCTTGGTCCTGAGCATCTGCGAGCACCTTGGATCCTAGATCCGAGGATCGGAATGCTTGGTCCCCAGGACCCTGGGCCTCGATCCGAGGATCGAGAGTTGGGCCTCGACGCCTGGCGGTCACGCGCGCGCGCGCGCAGGCGCGCGCGCAGCCACAAACGCACCAGCGCACGCGCGCGCACGCACGCACGCGCGCGCGCACA